AAAGGAGAATTTTGAGCCGACAGATCATTAGAAGGGAGTGATGTGGTTCTATACATAAATGAATCTGCTACAACGATGGTCGAGCCTAAACTGGGAATTAAACTACGAATGCAGACACTAAGTTAGTATTCTGACCGGCAGCTGTCGAACCTTTGAGTCTCTGCAAATATACACATGCATATCTACCTTCTACCTATGAAGGTCTGTGTGTACACATATGAATGGATATATATATATATATATATATATATATATATATATATATATATATATATATATATATATATATATATATATATATATATATACATATATACATATATGTATGGATATATATGGATATACATGTATATATATATATATATATATATATATATATATATATATATATATATATATATATATATATATATATATATATATACATATATACATACATATATATATATAGTTATTTATTTATTTATTCATTTATATATATATATATATATATATATATATATATATATATATATATATATATATGTATGTATGTATATATATACATATCCATGCATATATACAATGATCTCTATGTATGTAAATATATCTGTGTGTATAGGCGTACGTTCATGCCAGCTGATGACTTGAAAATTACTGTGCTAAATGCTATCAGCAGCTATTGTGAAACTAATTGAATAAAATATATTCGAATCACGTACGGTTACATGACGGACCTCCTATTGTGTTGTAAAGTGTTCCACAAAAGGTATGCACAGCTCGAGTGTGGACAGACGAAGAGCACAAAAGTGAAAAGAGCGCGAAGTAGGTTGGAGGCAAGGACACAAATGCAAAGCGGGGCTCATGCAGGTAAGTAAGCACTGATGTTGACACACATGTGTTGTGTACAGATACACAAGTGTTGTACACATGGTGGTTGGAAATGAAGTTGTACTGGAAAATTTAATTTAGTGTTACTATATTTCACTAACCAAATTAGCATACATTCCAGTAAAATGATGTGGGATGAGTGTGTAAATACAAAAATGAATTTGTGGTGCACACACACGATCACACACATTATGTATAAACATATATCTACAATCGTAGCTACTGTTGTGACAGGTAGGTGTAGTGGTGCTATACGTGTACCTTCTGGAATATACAAAGGATTATAATAGTTAATAGTCTAATTCAGATGACCTTTTAAAAATATAACTACGAATAAAATATGAGAAACAGACACTAACAATCCAAAAGGTTATCCAAAATGCAAACACGTCTATGGGAAAGAAGAAACATGTACGGGCATACATACACACGCATACGCACACACTCACACGTAAACACACACACACACACATACACTTGCAGAACAGGCAGTACCCAGCCCTCAACACTCCAGGCTTAACACAAATACACGATGCTGAACAACCACACACCGATGTTTAGAAAATAATAGTCATGCAAGGAGGGAAAAAAAAACATGGGAGAAGGAAGGTTCCACATGACACTGAAAAAGGAAAGAAAGAAGAGAGGAAGAAACACGCCACAGAACATTCTCATGCTCAGCATCCCCAAGAATCTGCCAAGCACACACCTTGCAGACAGTGATGGAACTCGCAGGCTACAGTGTACGCTATTTACAATCTGCGTTTGGATTCACGTTTCATGGGATCGCCCATATAGTTACTCTTAAAAAAAAATTGAGTTTTCTTGACTGTTATAACATTATATTATATTATGATATAACACGGTGGTCTCGGTTGCCATTCCCAATAATTCAGATTTACGCAATATTTTGAAAAGTAATCATGAGGGATCCAATAAGTACCTTTCCGAATAAATATATAAATAGTTATGGATGTACATACACGC